TTTGAGTTACAAGCATTTGTTTGAAGACTGGTGCTAGAGCAGCACACTCTGGCTTTCCCATTGACTCCAATGTAAATCTCAAAAATTATTCCTGATGAGAAAACTAAATTTCTAAATCGCTCTCACGGTCTCATTTCTTATCTCTTAAGAAATGAATAAAAACATATGTGGACGTCGGCCAAAGTCTTGGGATTCTCACAATGTGTTTATTTCTCAGATAGGCGTTATAGATTTTGAGTTAGAAGCATTTGATGAGGGGTGGTCTGAAGCTTGTTCGGCTCTCTAAAATGAGGGGACAACAGGTGTTTCTCATCAGATCAGTGAGTATCCATGGCAACCCCATAGCCTAGTGGTTAAGGCACTTGCATCATGTGACGTAAGTCTGGGTTCAAGACCGGGTGAGGGTGGGACATTTTGCTTCATTTTTGAAAATTTAAATAAAAGTAAAAATAAGATGCTGGATTTTCAAAATAAAACCCCCAAATAGTTACAGAATGTTCCCAAGAAGCCTAAGAGATGCTGGATTTTCAAAATAAAATCCCAAGATAGCTAAGGGATGTGTAAAAAAGGCTGGACTTTAAAATAAAATAAAAGTCCTGGATGATGATAAGACCATACCAGGAAGCCCAAAGGAGTCTGGATTTTCAAAAAAATATCCACAAATAGTTATAGGATGTTCCCAGGAAGCCTGAATTTTAAAAATTAAATGCCATGGATGGTGATAAGACATTACAACACAGTTTCTCTCTGTCTCTCTGAAATTGGTACAGTCTGTCTCTCTTTCACCAACCTGGATCATGTTATCAAAATGCAGCTTTTATACATGTCATTCTCTCTCACTGTCTCACTCTCTGTCTCAGGATCTCTCTCCTTACTCTTGAACTGGTACAGTTTCTCACTCTTTCTCTTTGACCAAGCTGGATGTCATTTTTTGTCTGTCCTTCCTCTTAAATAAAATGTCTCTCTGTGCGGAGGAGCGGTGTCCAAAAGGCACCCATTCAAAATGTCTCGGAGGGAGAGATTTTCTAGTTTCTTTTGGTATTTTATATAATTTGGTCTTTGGGCCTTCATTTTTGTTTGGTTTATTTACATTTGGTCCCTTGCTGACCTTTTATTACATTCTACATTCAATGTGCACTTTATCACTCTATGGTTTGGTTGTGATAGTAATATAAGCAACTTTTCCATTTTCAATATGAACTTTCTTCAAACCTTAACATTCGGTCGCTCCCCACACTCATTGCATACATGGTCTGTGACTTTGCATACGATCTTCATGATGTATGCATTAAATTTACAGGAACTTTCTTTTCTCTAATTTCTGTTGGTCAAGCTGACTTTAATTTCTGTTTGGTCACTGTACCATTTTATAATTTCTGTTGGCATTATATATATAATTTGATCTTTGGATCTTAATTTTTGTTAGGTCAATTGACTTTTTTTTTTAAGTTTGGTCCTTTGCTGACCCTTTATTAAGTTCTACATTTAGATCTCCACCATATGTCTCCCAGTACTGCCTAGAAGTTTTTTACATCTTAACAGGCAGAACCAGGAGGATGTTACGGTGTTAGACCACATTACAAAGTGTGGGGATGACAACACTGTTACCGCAGCATATCAACATTTTATTTATTGTCAACATGGCTCGGGAACCCATCTTGTCATCCCCAGCTGCTGTACTTGTCCCTCTGAAGACTTCATACAGTACCACAATTATTCATACACCTGCATATA